TTGCCGCGCGTGCGCATTCAGCCGGCGGGGCGTAACGGAGGAGGAGAGAAGGAGGAGAGCTCTCCGCCCAGCGCTGGAAAAAGGTAAGTTTAAACCCCTTTCCCCCTTTCAGAGCCGGGCGGGAGGGGGTCCCTGAGGGTGGGGGCACCCTCAGGGCACTATAGTGCCAGGAAAACGAGTATGTTTTCCTGGCACTATAGTGGTCCTTTAAATATTTTTATTCATTGGAGTCTCTTGATAAAGGTGCACCTTGCACCGAAACGCGCGTTGAGTCTACAGAACTTTTTGGACGGTATGCACTAATGCATTTGTTTTTAGTTCACCTTGCTCTGTGGTTAGGCACTTTGGCTATCTTTTTACTTTAAGGAAAAGTGGCTTGTTAGCCATACGGGAGACTGCCTCGAAGCAGTAGGGGGTTGGCAGATTATTATTAGGAGTATAGTATCTACATTTAGAATTTAGAGGCAGGTTATTCTTCATATTTATGTGAACTACACTAAAATGTTTCCTTTGTTCTTAACTCTAATCCTAACTCATTTACCACTCCCAGCTTTATATTCAAATACCTGAGGGAATGGCTCGAAGCAGTAGGGGGTAGCATATTATTATTAGAGGTATATAATTTATCTTTAGACTATAGAGGCAGGGAGTACTTCATACCTGTATTAACTAGACTTTAATGTTGCCTTTTTTCTAAACTTTAATTTTTACTCCTATACCTTCTAGCAATCTGTATACCCAGTTAATTGTCCTTTCTTGCAATCTAATGGGAGTTCTAAGTGGCATTTTCTAGTTTCACTGATTAAGCTTGGTTACATAACATCATATTTTTGTAACATCTAATTAATTATACTTGGTGGCTACTAGATACAGTGTATCTATCTCATTCTCCCATAGGAGGTTCAATTAAAAGAGGAGATTTATTAATATTCTCAACTAATATTCTCTCCTTCCTCCTTTTGTTCCCAGTTTACTTCCGATATAGGAATACAGCTACACTCTATATATCTCTCTAAATCATATCGCATAATTCAATAGGAGTAGTCTACTAACCATAGTAGCTTTTTCACGCAATCACGTTTGTAGAGCGCACTATTTTTGCTGGGTTTTTTATATATTTTTTATTTTAATTAATAAAGTTTGCATTTTACCTTGATACAGTGACTTCAATTAATGGTAATCTATTAGGAAATGTCCACTATGTCGGGTTTTTCTCAAACTCTCTTTCTTTATTTTTATTCATATTTTCACGTTTGAGAGGGTGCATAGCTCTGGAAGGCGTCACAACAATTATGCAACAATAGATTGCAAATTATTATAGTCTGCAGGAGCATTTACTACAGATAGTGGTAATGTTCTGGTATTTCATAGTCTTGATCCAGTCTCAATTTTCTTAAAATATACGCTTGTCTGTTATTTCTCTCCCTTTGTGCTGGGTTCTCATCAAGTCTATGTTTGTTTGGAAAATCTAAAACTCACAAATCATATTTGTAAAAGAGCACTTCAACTTTTCTTTTCCACACTTAATCATTTCCATAATTATAGTTGTCACTGTAAATCTGAAATCTGTTCTGTTTGTAATTTTCCTAATATTTTCTTCTAACAGTCTTGGTGCATTTCAAAACCCTTATTTTTTTTCCCATTAAATAAGCAGTACTGAATAAGTTGTATCTTCCATTTGGCACCCACTGCACCTCATCCTGTTCTAATAGCCTTCAAATCTGACTGAAAATGTGCAAAATTGCTGATGCTGTAACTTAAACTTATCCAACATTTAATATATTATATAAATATAGTAACAAAGAAAATGTATTGTATTGATTAATTTATAAATAAAAAAAAAGGTTGAGTAAATTGGCATTGTGGCTGTTGCACATAGAAGGCTTATCAATAAACTGCAATCTTTAAGTTTGGATTCAAATATTGTTGAATGGGTAAGGCAGTGGCTGGGTGACAGGCAACAGAGGGTTGTAGTTAATGGAATATATTCGAAGCTTGGACTTGTCACCAGTGGGGTACCTCAGGGATCTGTACTTGGACCCATTCTCTTTAATATTTTATTAGTGATATTGCAGAAGGTCTTGATGGTAAGGTATGTCTTTTTGCTGATGATACTAAAATATGTAACAGGGTTGATGTTCCAGGAGGGATAAGCCAAATGACAAATGATTTAGGTAAACTAGAAAAATGGTCAGAATTGTGGCAACTGACATTTAATGTGGATAAGTGCAAGATAATGCATCTTGGGCGTAAAAACCCAAGGGCAGAGTACAGAATATTTGATAGAGTCCTAACCTCAACATATGAGGAAAGGGATTTAGGGGTGATTATTTCTGATGACTTAAAGGTAGGCAGACAATGTAATAGAGCAGCAGGAAATGCTAGCAGAATGCTTGGTTGTATAGGGAGAGGTATTAGCAGTAGAAAGAGGGAAGTGCTCATGCCATTGTACAGAACACTGGTGAGACCTCACTTGGAGTATTGTACACAGTACTGGAGACCGTATCTTCAGAAGGATATTGATACCTTAGAGAGGGGTTCAGAGAAGGGCTACTAAACTGGTTCATGGATTGCGGGATAAAACTTACCAGGAAAGGTTAAAGGATCTTAACATGTATAGCTTGGAGGAAAGACGAGACAGGGGGGATATGATAGAAACATTTAAATATATAAAGGGAATCAACACAGTAAAGGAGGAGACTATATTTAAAAGAAGAAAAACTACCACAACAAGAGGACATAGTCTTAAATTAGAGGGACAAAGGTTTAAAAATAATATCAGGAAGTATTACTTTACTGAGAGGGTAGTGGGTGCATGGAATAGCCTTCCAGCTGAAGTGGTAGAGGTTAACACAGTAAAGGAGTTTAAGCATGCGTGGGGTAGGCATAAGGCTATCCTAACTATAAGATAAGACTAGGGACTAATGAAAGTATTTAGAAAATTGGGCAGACTAGATGGGCCGAATGGTTCTTATCTGCCGTCACATTCTATGTAACCCTCTATTAAGCTGTATATTACCTACACTATGACTTTTGTGGATATTACTTATTATTATATGTGATATATTAATGAAAAGGAAAAACTGCACACTGGTATGATTAATAAGCCTGATTTCAAACTATCAAGCCCCAATACTGCTGTAAGAAAGTCAGTGCTCCATCAGATGATCGTCTGCAATAAACAAAGCCTGATTTCAAACTATCAAGCCCCAATACTGCTGTAAGAAAGTCAGTGCTCCATCAGCTGATAGTCTGCAATAAGCAAAGCCTGATTTCAAACTATCAAGCCCCAATACTGCTATAAGAAAGTCAGTGCTCCATCAGCTGATCGTCTGCAATAAACAAAGCCTGATTTCAAACTATCAAGCCCCAATACTGCTATAAGAAAGTCAGTGCTCCATCAGCTGATCGTCTGCAATAAACAAAGCCTGATTTCAAACTATCAAGCCCCAATACTGCTATAAGAAAGTCAGTGCTCCATCAGCTGATCGTCTGTAATAAACAAAGCCTGATTTCAAACTATCAAGCCCCAATACTGCTGTAAGAAAGTCAGTGCTCCATCAGCTGATAGTCTGCAATAAGCAAAGCCTGATTTCAGAATTATCAAGCCCCAATACTGCTATAAAAAAGTCAGTGCTCCATTAGCTGATAGTCTGCAATAAGCAAACGTAACCTTCTGGAAGACCACACTAAGACTCTATTCTGCACAGAATCATTTATATTTAATTTAACCACCCTGTACATTTTTTTTTATATATCCTGTGTGCATTGTATATTTTCTTGCCTTTTTATCTTGTCTGTCATGCTAAAGTGCGGTTTTGCTAGCCCTGTATGTAATTGTTTTATTTACCTATATGCATTCCTCTATTTCAACCTCTGATTTCTGACTGACCTCTGACACCTCCCTTCTTTTATTGATATGATTTTTTTTTTAATAACCATTCATTCATCTGTGTGCCTAGATGCATATCCCCCTCCCTCAGCTTTATTGCAAGCTTTATTGCAAGCCTATCTGACCCTCACATATCTTTATTCAACAGCCTGATTTCAAACTATCAAGCCCCAGTCCGATACGAAGCTTGTAAAGCAAAGGAAAGAGACAAGCTAACTAAATGAGATAAATCCTCAATTTGATGGGTGCTCAGATGGAGCAATTATAACATATCCTGAATTGTCCCATAAGGGCATACACTTTTACAGAAAGTCCGTAGCTCTGATTAGAAAGGGTGAGCAAAAGATTTAGCAGTTACCAGTCACTAGTAGGTACTCACACATGTGAGGGGTATCTCTCTAGCTAAACACCCTCATACATATATATATACAGGTGATGTGTGCCTGGATGTCGTAATCTATGAGGCATTATGCCTCAGATGAAGGCGCTTTAGTAGCGCCGAAGCGCGCGTCAGGCAGGGTTATGCAGGCTTGAGACAGGTGACTTTTAGTTATCAGTTCGTAGCCGTTCAGTTTCTTGTGGGTTCTATGGGCATTGGGGGAGGCAAGATTTGCTGAGCACTCCGGCAAGTTAGCTCACATGTAGGGCTTGGTCTATTGCGGCTGCACCATTGCACCACAATGATTATAGCTTAGAACCTGGGAATTCTGTTTCCATGTATCTAGGAGGCTAGGCAGTGAAACACTGTATACGGTTATTAGCTACTAGTATAACTTGTTCCAGCTCCCCTCTACTGGATATAGTAACAGCATAATTGTAACAGCTCTATTTACAAGTGTATTATTAGCCAGAGATGCCCGCCTTCTCCCCCCCCCCATTCCCCCTGTCATGGGGGGGGGGCAAGATGATGGACCCACCCACCCCCCCGATATATTAAGGCTCCTAGCTACTGTAGACAGCCCGCGCGGCGAGAGGGCGCAGAGAGCACACAGCTCCCTCGCCACGTCGGATATGGAGACAGGCACCTGACCCACTGGACCCCAGGGACAGGTCCACGCCAGCTCTCCAGGTAGGGAGGCTGGGTGGACATTTTTTAATTAAAAAATAATAAGTTGTGAGTGTGTGTCAGTGTGTGTGTGCATGCGTATATATATATATATATATATATATATATATATACATATATATATATATTTACACACACATTTACACACACACACACACACAAGTGTATATTATTATTTTTGGGGGGTGGGAATCTTGGGAGAGTTCCCACATTTTATTTTCCAGATCTCCCCTGTCGGCTCACGCAGAGCCGGCGCTATCTGAGTGCCGGCTCTGCTCTAAACCTCCATAGGCCGGCGTGCAGATCAAAGATCTACCTCACCGGCCCACAGCAGCATGGAGGGAAGAAGGAGAGGACCCAAGGAGCTCTAGACAGCAGCTCCGCCAGGTTCCTCCAGGCAACGCTCAGATCTCGCAAGAGTTAACTCTAGCCCCGCAGGCTAGAGTTCACTCTCCAATGGACCACTAGGGATGGCACATGGCAGCAAGGATTCCCCCTCCCTACATAAAGTAAGAAGGGAGGGGGGATATTTATTAATCTGCCCCCACCTCCGCAATCCCTCCAACCATACAGCAGACACACACATACAGCAGACACACACATACAGCACACACACACACACAGCACCCACACACACACAGCACACAAACAGCACCCACACACACACCACCCTCACACACACACACAGCACGCTCACACACACACAGCACGCTCACACACACACAGCACACTAACCGCACCCTCACAAGCACACACAGCACCTTTACAAACACACAACACCCTCACACACAGCACACTAACAGCACCCTCACAAACACACACACACACAAACAGCACCCTCACAAATACACGACACCCACACACATCACACAAACAGCACCCTCACACACACAGCACCATCACACACTCACATCACACAAACAGCTCCCTCACACAGCACACTTACAGGACCCTAACAAACACACACACACAAACACCCTCACACACTACCAGCACCCTCACACACATCACACTAACAGCACCCTCACCCACATAGCACACTAACAGCACCCTCACACACACACACAGCAGTGTATGTATGTGTGTGTGTATGTATATATATATATATATATATATATATATATATACACACACACACACACACACACACACACACATACATATACATGCGGCATGTGTTTGTGCTTTAGGGTGCACACCCTAATGCAATAGGCTGCACATGCCTATGGTTATAATCGCTCCATCTGGGTACCTGTCAAATTGAGGATTTATCTCATTTAGTTTGCTTGTCTCTTTCCTTTGCTTTACAAGCTTTGTAACCACTTATATGTGTATTATAATTTTATTACAAGAGTGATCAATAAAAGTTATGTTTTAATTCATGGATAGGCAATACTCCCAGGGACTCCCTAACTTCTGACCCTTGTTTTTTTTTTGTTTTGTTTTTTCTCTTGGGGTCATTCTTTTTGTTTGAAATGTGAGTTAGAATAAATTAATGAATAAATTAATGTCATGGATTCTGAAGAAATTCATGTGATTGTCATTATAATGTTCCCAACCCCATACAAATAAAAAAACGATGTCCCCATACCACCTTTTTTGGTCTGTGTATGCATGTTTGTATGAGAATGTATGTGCATTTCAGGCAAGTTGTTTCATAAGGAATTCATGCATTTCATGTTTAAGAAACCAATGTCTGAGAATTCTGTTCAAAAAGCTGGTAGCTGTCATATGTTCTATTTTGTTAAAAATATACCAGTGGGGCATATTCTGCTTATCCCCAAGACAGATGATTTATTTTAGGAAAAAAAGTAGTTACGAGAAAGGCTTGTAGCTAAAGAGCATTCTATTTGGATGACTGACAGATGCTCTAGGATACCCTGGTATTGAGCAAGAAGTGATGTCCTGAAAAAAAGAAAAGAATAAGTGTAACATCAAAGATAAAACAAACACAGAAACTAGTAGTAGTTTTTTCAGTACTGGTTACAATGGCAAATTTTCAGAAACTGAAGAATTGCTTTTAAAGCATATTCCCACAGACATACAATTTAGATTGTGTCGGTACAGTGAGTTAGTAATTAGTATATACTAAATGTTTCTTAGTTTATACAAGTAACAAGAAAAAGAAGCACAATTGGAAGTAAGGATCAGAAGGAGCATAAATATATTTATGCTATATGTTTAGAACATAAAAGGCTGTAAAAGTTAGAACTTCATAAAGATTACAGTTTAAAAGAAAAGTGTTTAAATCAAATATTTAATGGTCCTGATGCATTGAATACACTAGCAGAGTAGAGTAAAACATTATGGCAACATTTTTAATTTAAATTAATTTACATTTAACCAGCATCAATAAAATTCACAGGGAACATATTCTCCCGTGCCAGAACAACATTGTCAGTCATGTTGCTCTTTATAGATAAAACTAAAGAACAATTTTTTCACTGGTCATAAACCTCTGCATTTAACACCTGTATTTGGTATTTAATTAGTATGACATGAATTGTTACTCACTAACATACATTTCTTTTATGCAATATATTCAATTAGTAAACATTTCCAGCTGGAACACCAAGCACTCCAAGGGAAATTACGGAAACCAAGACAGCTTTTGGTATTCAATAAATGGCTTTACAGTTGCATGTGTTTAAATAAAGCCATTTTACTGGCAGAATTCTGTGACCAGGCGTGAGGTCTGCCAGCAAAATTAATCTTTTTTGATGATTAAGTGGGAGAACAATATGCTGATCTTCCTTCCCTGTGGTTCCCTAAAATGAAAAACAGGAGAGTGGTGAATAGCATATCTTATTTCTCCACCCTAAGGACAGCAGGATTGAGAGTATTAATGAAAGATTGGGTATATCTTGGGTTCTCACACACACAATAATAATAGTGAGATGAAAGCAATACAATGTGATAAAAACAAAATCCAGTAAAAACATGTTTAGTTTAGACCTGAAATGCCAACAGGATTCCTCTACATTAGACCCTAAACAAAAGAATTGAAGCAAAAACTAACATTAGAGCACGTAATAGTTGTCCTTTGCTTACACATTCATCAGGTGTCCTCAGGTGTCAAATATGTTTTTGTTTTCTCACTATGTCTACTACGGAGGTATCAGCTACACATTACTGATGAAGCCAAGGAAGGTTGAAACTGTTTTTTTCTTGTGTAGTGAACTTGCCTGCATTTAGGATCTGGGCTGACAGCTTACTACCCCCATATTCATACTGCCAACAAGTTACTAATATCATAAGGGAGTAATGCTGCACAGTGGCGTACTAAGGGGGGGCGGCGGGGGCGGTCCGCCCCGGGTGCCACCAGGGTGAGGGGTGCCATGACCAGCCCTGCCGGCCCCCCCCATGCTGCAGACGCCCGAGCGCTCTGTAAAGAGCCTCGGGCGGTTGCAGCTTTGCCCGGGCGGTGCGTCCATGAGGGCGGACCGCACCGCCCGGGCGCAGCCTGAGGAGAGGCTGACAGGAGGGAAGCGCTCAGCGTTCAGCGCTCCCTCCTGTCAGCTTCCTTTGCTGTAGCGTGGCCGAGCCCTGCACATGAGTGTTCACTTCCTGAGTGTTCACTTCCTGTTAGTCCGGCCGGTACAGGAAACAGATGCTCCCTGTACCCGCGGACTATACTGGGCTCGGCCACGCTACAGCAAAGGTGGGGAGGAGAGAAAGGGGGAGAAAGGGGAGAAAGGGGGGTGAGAAATGAGGGGTGAGAAAGAGAAAGGGGGAGAAAGGAGAGAAGAGGGGGTGAGAAAGAGAGTGAGAGAGAGAAAGGGAGGAGGGAGAGAGAGAGGGGAGAGAGAAGAAATTAGGAGGGGGGTGAGAAAGAGAAATTAGGAGGGGGAGAGAAATTGAAATTAGGAGGGGGGAGAGAAATTAGGAGGGGGGAGAGAAATTGAAATTAGGAGGTGGGAAGAAATTAGGAGGGGGGAAAAATTAGGAGGGGGGGTGAGAAAGAGAAATTGGGAGGAGGAGAAGGAAATTGGAGCGGGAGGAGAGATTGACATTCATCACATACACACAATGCACCCCTTGCACACAGAAAAACACACAATGCATTACACACACAGACACACATACACAAGCAATGCAACCGTTACACACAATGCATCCCTTACACACACAGAAACACACAATGCATTCATTACACACACTCAATGCACCCCTTACACACATTCAATGCATCCCATACATACACAGAAACACACCTTGCAGCCCTTACACATACAAACACAATTTCACACAATGCATTCCTTACACACATATCAGGACATCCCCTACACACTCCACCCCCTGTGAACAAACTCATTGGTGGAACATGAAGGTGGACCCTGGGACCCAGACCTTGAGCTGTGTAAAGGACCCCCAAAAAATGGAGCTGCTTCCCGTTCTCCCAGAACATTGATTTTTGTGACCACAGTTACAAACCGCCTCCAGAGAGCCTGTTCTGCACCAGACCAGTGGAGCCAGACTGCAGCTAGAGCCCATCATCATCCTCATCTGGTTGTAAGTAGGCAATCTAGTATATTATTCGTGGCACTAATCTCTAATTTACCTCACATTAAAAAACACTATAGTCCCCAGAACCACTTCAGCTTAATGTAGTGGTTCTAGTGTCTATAGCCTGTCCCTGCAGGCCTTTTAATGTAAACACGGCGGCACTGCAGCACTGGCGTTAGTTAACATGGCAAATCATATGGGTGGGGCATTGTGATGTCATGGGGGGGCGGCAAACTTTACTTTTGCCTAGGGCGGCAAAAATCCTTGCACCGGCCTGGCTGGAGGGGGCTGTGTGAGCTGTGGCCGCACAGTGTTCCATGGTAGTTAGGGTGCCGTACAGCTCACACAAGCAAACAGCTGATAAACTGGCCGCACAGAGGAAATGTGTATGTGTGACTGTCTGCCTGTGACTGTGTGTGACTATCTGCCTGTAACTGAGTGTGTGACTGTCTGTCTGTAACTGACTGTGTGACTGTCTGCCTGTAAATGTGTGTGTGGGGCTGCAGGGATTTTGTAGAAGGGGGCGGGGGTTTTGTATTGGGACAGGAGTCTTTATAAGGGGGGATAAGCAGGGGATTTGTGGAAGGGGGTTGCGGGGGTTTTGTAGACGGGGCAGTACAGGATTTGTAGAAGGGGCAGGACAGAGGTTTTGTAGGAGGGGCTGACAGCGGTTTTGCAAAGTTTACAAATTGTAAAAAAAAAAGAAAGAAAACCTTTAACATTTTTTACAGGTTTTTGGGGGGGGTGCCAAGCACATGATCCGCCCCGGGTGCCAAATGCTCTAGGTACGCCCCTGGCTCTACCTAGAGGCAGATAGTTTACTAAAGAGATAAATGCTGGAAATTCATAGTAATTTCAAAGTCAATTTTAAGGCTAAAATAGACAAACCAGAAAAAATTGCAAAGTCAGCTATGCTTCCAGTTTGGCTTAATGTTTGTTTTTTTAAATTCTTTAGTTTGTCGTGCAATGAGTTATAGACATGCATTCGAGATACAATAGCGTGGCAATTATATGATTACATTGCATGTAGCATATATGAAGTAACAGACAGTTGCACTTTGGTTTAAAAAAAAATATATATATATATATATATATATATATAAACATGAATAATTACCTAAAGGATGTAGTTGAACAGTTGTATGGTATTTTTTTACAGTATCAAAAGTGTCACCCTAAGCTAGATGTTATGCTACCTATGGATTTGGAGTGGAACTCAACTGCAGAAATTTTTAATAGGACAAACATTAGAGGATGATCAGAATAAGAATTAGAATTTAAATAGAACAATTCCTAATAATGGAATTTGGTTTGAAGGTGGATTGCTGAGGTTAGTTCCTCTAGCTTTAAGGAATACAATACGAAGATAGTTTGTTGAGAAGAGATCCTGTAGCTTTAAGGAATACAATATGAGGATAGTTTGTTGAGAAGAGTTCCTGTAGCTTTAAGGAATTCGATTTGAAGGTAGAAGCTGGAAAAATTAAGCAGAGTGGTTGCTGCAGATGGTTTAGGTAAACGAAGACCAGTTTATAGATGGAATATGAAAGATTAGATATTTCATTAGTTGAATGCAGGAGGCGAGGAAATAGATTTGCAATAGCATTGAAATGGCAGAAGAATGAAACAATCCAATTTATTTAACTTGCGGTT